CCATACACCTCCTGCTTCCTTGATGGCCTCCACTGCATTAGGCAACCCTCGGGTATAATTAGTAATGCTTCTTAAATGATTCCAAGTCTGAAGATATTGTTTCTCTTCATTAGTAAAATTCCCCTGAGTGAAGAGACTGGATATTATGGAGTCGGCAGTAATCACTTGATAAGCAATTTCAGGATTTTGAACTGCAGATGGAACTGCAGGATTGAGCCACTGAAGAGGATCAACGGAATTGAACGAGCGAGTTGCATAATAATTTTGCCGAGTTGAACTTCTCGAGATAACATAAACCATCAAGAGCAACATACAAAAGGATGCAACCAGAACCCGCCCATAACTTTTCTTCATTCCGGCGACCGAACAATTCGCTAATAGCCAAAAGCTCTAAGCCCAAACTCCACCATCATTAAGCATAAACGAAACTAAAGTGCCAATAGCCTGAAACGTTGTTCCTCGAGACTAATTCTGAAAACATATTTACAGGAAAGAATTGACAATAAAGAACAGATATCTCTCGGAAAAAATGGTGGATATAGTTTAAATAAGAGTTTCGACATGCATTAATTGCAGAATATCGAATCAATACTAACTCAATGCACAAGAGAATATGGCAGCCAATTTCTGCAAATAATGCCAACATAAATAATCCGAACTCACATCCCGCGTAAATCACAACAAAACATTTTCTCAAAAAGAAAATAAAAAACGCTACACTCTAATAGAATTAGCAAGTGTACCAGAAAGGAAATGGAAGACTGAACAGAAACAACAAACAATTCATCCGCATTTCACCAGGTACAATTTCTCCAAATTGAAACAAGTACAAAACAAACAAGCAAAACAAAGAGGAAAGTAAGTAGAAAAAGCAAAACAGCGCGTTGTTCAAGTAGGAAATTCCGGCGACGGAAAACACAACGAGATCCAAAAACAATGTATCGTTCCATAGAAGAAGCACTGAAAACCTCAACAGTCAATCGGAGAAGAACGTATAAAGAAAAAGTAGAGAGAGACAGCAAGTTTACCTTGAAAATGTAAAGAGGAAAGTCCTGGCGGAGTGAAATGCAGAGAAAATGAAGCAAAGGCGGCAACAAATTAGAGAGGTTGAAGAGGGTGGAGGGAGGAGAAAGAAGAAGAAGAAAACGAGGGAGAAAAGATGGACAGGGGAAGTTGCAGTGAGTAATAGATCGCTGTCGTGCCAAGCTTGGAGTCGACGTCAAAGCACAGATTATCAAACTTCAAATTTCATAAATTATTTATTTAATTTAATTTTAACAATGCAACTACCTGTCGTCAACAAATTAATTAATTAATTAAATAAATAAAAGAGGGAACGGGACCATCTTCCGTGCTACCTGGTCGTCGCTCCTCCTTCACGACAACTCCAATGCCGTAAAGCCGTCTTTTATAAATAAGTTAAATCACCGTTTGACGTGGCCGATTCTGATTGGACATTTTTTCGAAGGAGGTTCGTTATTTATTCTTCAAGTCCACTTTTTAATTTCAATTACAAATTGAAAGCTGAGTCTATGGCTGCCCTTGGACGGCAGTTGAATTTTCCAACAAAGATAGATTATTTTAATTTTTTGGAAATAAAAAATGTTTTGTTCCTCCGCTTTTAATAAATTTATAAAGTAGTAGTAAAGATTAGTGGCAATTTTATAATTTTAAAGGAATAAAATTATTTTTTGAAATAAAATTGAAGGTCGAATAAGTCAAGCTTTTTCTTAAATCGGTAATTTGAGTTTTGCACTTATTTGTCAAAGTACATTAAAGAAAAAGAAAGAAGGGACCCCATTTGGTGAAACGTTGTGATCAAACGCCTAAACGGGTTAGGAGTGTGAATTTAGTTGTATAATTGAAGAATCTTAATTTTGGTTATGTCACTGGGTGGAATTCGATTCAGATCATACTATGAACTAAAAAGAAAAACAGACACAAATAAATGTTTATATTCACGAGCTCCTCTTTATTATGTTAAAAGTAAATGTTTGTCATTCAATAATTGAGTAAATAATGCAATTTTTATGACAAATTTATGATCTACCATTAATATAATATTTATAAAATATGGAAATAAATCACAATTCAATAATTCTTTTTAACAGAAAATACCTCAACTAAATTTTATGATCTACCCATAATTAAAAAAAGTGTGAGAGTGTTTTTTTAATTTTTATTTAGTTTAAAGATAGTAATGAAAATATGCTTTTTAACAAATTATAAAATTTTGAAATGGAACAGTATTTGTGACTCATCAATCCTTAAAAAGGAAAAAAAATATCGAGTTGAATAACTCATTTTCTTATAAAAAAATGTTTCGTTGTATTTTTTAATTGATGCGGGGCTTCACGTTTCATCTCTCTTAAGAGTCCAGCGTCCTCGCTGGCACGTCACACCTAATATCTTACTTTATTACCATTTGTAATAATCCAACCCTACCACTAACAGATATTGTTCGCTTTAACCCATCATATATTTTTGTTAGTCTCACGGTTATAAAATGTGTTTGTTAGAGAGAAGTTTCCACACTCTTATAAGAAATGTTTCGTTTTACTCTGAGATCCAACTTTTATCATTCGCAAATAATTTTTTACATTTCCTATTAATTGAGCGGGGAAGCGAGCAACATTATGAGAAATAATTTTTTATTACAATTATTTTGATAATAATAAATAAATTAGTACATATAAGGGAAAATTGATGACGCTCAAGAAAGCTGTCCATGCTAAAATTTAGGCAAAACATTAAATTGAACAACAGTTATAATTGGAACAAACTTTATGAGTCACTGTATCTTGAAGTTGGGTACACTGCAGTAAATAAGGACCGGTAATACATGGTAAAGTTTATCATCCAACTTCTATGGTCTGATTGTTATTAGAAGGAGCATAATGATTAGCCATCTAAGGCCATAAATATACGGTCAAAATTACACAACTCACACACTTAATTTAGATGAAAAATAAAAGAGATAAGACCACGTAACAAACACCTACGATGATGTTGATGATTTCAAGTAGTTAAATAATTTGTCTTAAAATCAACATAAGAGAATATATGTATGAAATAGTTCAAGCTCACTGCTAGAAGTTTCTACATCATTGTAAGAATGTTTTGTTATTTCTATCAACAGGTGTGGGTGTCACCATCCATCTTCCCTTGGAAGCTCAGTCTTACAATCCAAGGAGTAGTTGTGCTGTCAAGTAAGTTATAACGATGACTAGTTTAAGTGGGGGTGTAATAACGCACAACACCGATATATGCATGGAAAGTTCTGATAAAATGATATGATATAAAGAAAAGCGGAAGAGGTTGTTGTAGATGATAATGAAAGGAAAATGTTGGGACCTCATGCATGAGAGAATACCCTTCTTTTATGATGGTACGAACGCGTACGCTACGAGGTAGAAAAATGATCTTTATATTTATTATAATGCTGGGACAGTCGTTTTTCCTGACGGGTGTTCGGCAACAACAGCTCCAGAGAATGCTAGCCTTACCAAGAAAGGGGACTAGGAGGTGTGTGAATCAACTGGTGCGTCCATATTCGCACATGTGGGTTGTGTATAAAACAGTAAATACACATTCTATTATCTGCTTGTGATAGTCGTCTGAGAGAATATAGACTGATATGATAGGCCTCACTTATGATTGTATGTGCTTAAATCTAACCCCAATAGTGAGGTCACCTCCTAAATACTCAAGATATGTGTTACTCTTATTTTCTAGGAAAAGTCCCAGGTCAGTGACATCGCAACTAAGGAGATCATAACATAACACATGCATGCATAGGGTAGTATGCATTTAAATTCGTATTATATAGGTTATTATTGGGCACTTATACTTTAATTTATTTTAATTTTTGATATTTTATTTAAAGACCTAAAAAAATATGTAGTCCAACTATGTTTTATGATAAAGTTTTGAATGAATTATTTTTTTGTATAAAATGACTATGATAGGTATACAATAGCGACTTCCGGTTAAATAGAAATCTATGGATGTTACATGGGAAAAAAGAGTAGGTTGTGACCCTCACGTTGCAACAAAAGAAGCGGCGACCCTCAAGTGGCTGTCATCTGGCCACTCGAGGGCCTAAACGAATGCCATGATGCGACCAAGGAAGATGGTGCATCATCTAACACATCAGACAAAATGGACATTGAAGAGAAGTTGAGGCATAAGCAAGATAATAGGAACGAGTAGACAAGAGTGCCAAAGGTAGGCTTGTTGAAGGGCCAGGTAGGGCCCGAGCCTTAACCTCAAAATTCGGGGTTTCAGAAGAAATTTTGGAATTTTTGCATGACACCAAATTTTGTGAGCATTCTTATTTCATGGCAAAATAAGAACCACGTACCAAAATTCCTTCAAGAACTCTGACTTTTGAGGTTAAGACCTAGAGCCCTACCCGACCCTTCAACAAGCCTATCTCTGTCACTCTTGCCTACCCGTTCCCCATATGACTTGACTTCTCTTCAATGTCACTCTGTGTAGTGTGTTAGATGAGCATCATCTTCCTCAGTCGCATCATGACACTCGTCTAGTCCCTCGTGTAGTCGAATGGGCACCACTTGAGGGTCGTCGCTTCTTTTGTCGCAACGTGAAAGTTACAACCTACTCTATTAGAATTAGGATGTAACATTCTGCATACTCGCTGGCACACAACTTTTACTATGTTACACTTCCTTAAATTACCTATAAGTAAACTTAACTTATGAGTAAATATTAGGCTCCACAACCTAGCATATATGTCAATTATAACTAAATTGATCCGTTGGTTAACGTGGGATATAAAGATTTTAATCTTCTCATGGAGGCATGATGTAAAGATGATGCAGAAATATGTTGGTAAGATGGTTATATAATTTAATTTGATCCAGCATATGTTATGATCAATGCTACACCTGTTCTAATCCCTTGGTGGCTATACGATGATCATTTCAGGAAAGAAATAAAAGAAGGCAGAGATTAACACATGGCACCAAATGGGTATGTTTTTACTAGAAGCAAATGATTGGTGGTTTATTCATAATGAATGAAATGACAAGGAATTTAGAACTTGGGGAATTGAATACTTGAAGAACATTTTCCCCTGGGAAGAACAGGGCATTTAATGAACTCAGAACCAGAGGTATCCACACATAAATAAACCTGGTACAGTTGACTGTGCCCACCTGAATCCTTGTTACATTGAATCCCCGGAGTAAACCCAACCCCTTTCCGTATCGCCTCTCTGATACTCTCCAAACTGTAAAACTCGTCATTTGCTTCAATTCCTGCATCATTAAGGAGGTTGAGGAGATTGGCCTTCTCCTTCAGTTTGATAGCTGCTTCGAAGTACTCTTTCTGGTCGAGTTCAGACTCTGAGCATGTCCCATGTTTCTCCCATTCGTGTGACCAAAATCTTAACCCATCGCTGCTGGGACAGCTTAATGATGGCCAGTCCTTTTGCATGCTGCTTAATGCTTCTGAGATCTAATATGAACTAACTTATTAAACAACCCATAATGTGTTGGAATGTTATAATCACTGCTAATTCGGTTACCTGGGTTCGGTCGAAAGCGCTGTTGGAATTGCAGTTGGATGGGTAACCTCCATCTTTGTAATTAGGCCAGAGACCATGAATCCCGAAATCTGCAGATGGCCTTCCTGTTTTGGGATAGCAGCACCGGTGTTGCTTTGAATTGCAATATGCTCCGGGCCACTATTAAAAAAAAGTCTCGTATCAATAGAGATATTAATTGAGGTAAGAAATGAAAGATACTCACTCACACACCTGCTGAACAAAGTAAAAGAAATCGAAATCCTGAGCAAGACAAAGGGGTGATAGATACTGCAAGAGAAGAAGGTTGAATATGAAAATGGAGTAGCTGGGCTTCATGGTTTTTTCTTGTTGCTTGGCGTTTCAATGAACGATGAAGAACACAATCCAACTTTATAGGCATAAGAAGAGGTGTGAAAATTTGATTTTTAAAAACAAATATGGGGTTGCGTTTGCTTGTTCATTCTTTAAATGCCCGTCTTCTTCTATGAATTTTCTTTAAGTAAGGAGATGGTAGATGGGACGCCGTGTAACCCTACATTATCTAAGCACCTAAACCCCAATCTTCAGAAATCATTTAGGAACCAAATCAATTTCTTACCTAGAAAATTAAATACACCTATGATATGATATTGTCCCCTTTGAACGTAGACTCTAGTGGTCTTACATTTGATTTTCTCAGAAAGTCAGGTACAAATGTATATATTATTTCTTATAAATTTATGATTTTCTTTTAATTAGAGAATGTGAGACGAAATGTGAAAAATGGAGAAATAAAATGACGGTCACTCACCCATTTGAACACTCAATACATGACTTCAATTGTTTGCAAGCAACCTTCACTTCAAATGTACATTTTTTTTATGAATTTAAAAATTTATATTTAATACTCTCGAATAATTTCATTTTTTAAAAATAATTTAAATTTCTAGATGGAAAGTTTATGGAAAATTCAATTTTTCCAAAATATAATTTTTATTTCCTTAAAAGAATTGGATTTTTAAGTTCAAAATCACAGATGGCCTGAACTTATTTGGTAACAATTTAATACTTCTCTTAAATTTAATCGAAATACTATTTAAGATTTAATAAAATTTCTTATTATAAAGATTAATTTTGATGAGATTTTCTGACCATAGAAACTAAATTATAAACTACATTGTTACTTATTATGATATAAAAATTTAATTGTTGGATCATGGAGTATTTTTCAATTTATAATTCAATCTTCTTAGATTTTGAGTGAAAATTATCCATAGAGATTATGAAAGTTATGAAAGTTAATCAACCTTGTCTCGTTATTGAATATTTTATGGAGTGAACCATTTTACATAGGTTTGATTTTCCTAAAACATGAGCAGATCATGAAATCCCTAAAATTCGGGGAACTCCACGGAAGAATCACAGTTTCCATCTGGGAAAACAGGGCAGTCGATGAAGTTGGAGGCTGAAGAATCGACGCAGAAGTAAACCTCATACAATTGGCTGTTGCCGGACTCATCCGTGTTGCAGGTGATTCCAGGGCTCAGCTTAACTCCATCTTCAATGGCACTCTTGATCTTACTCAAACTGTAGCTACTTCCATCTGGGTTTATTCCTGCGGTTTGAAGAGCTTTGAGTATGTCGGCTTGGGTTTTAAGATTGAGAGCGGCCTCGAAATATGCATGTTGGTCCACAACGGATTCGGCGCAGGTCCCGTGTTTGTTCCACTCATGCGCCCAGAATTTGGTGCTGTCGCTGCTTGGACAAGCGAGTGATGGCCAGTCCCGCTGCATGCTGTCCTCCAAATCTGACACCTAAATCACATCTCCACAATATAATGAAACAAAAACAATTATGGAACCAAAGAAATGTAGGTATGGGATGTTAAATACCTGGGATGGATCGAAGAGGTTGGATGAGTCACAATTAGAGGGGTAAGTGGCATCGTTGTAATTGGGCCAAAGGCCGTGGATTTTGAAGTCAGGGGATGGTTTTCCAGCCTGGGGATAGCAGCAACTTCGGCGAGTGTCGCAGTAAGAGCCAGGCCACTGCAGGAAATAGAGAAAGAAAGGGGTTAAAAATTGAAACTTGGGTAATGGGTAGGGTGTTATGGTTGAATATACTTACACTTTGAACGAAGTAGAAGAAATCAAAGTCCCTGGCGGCGAGACAGAGGAGGGAAAGGCATTGGAAAATGGCGAGATTTATGAGAAGGAAGCGGGTGAAGAAAGACATGGGGTGAAGAAAGTGGTGAAGTCAGTAGCGTTTGAATTTGGAATGGGAGTTGCGATGATTTGATTGGTGATTTTATAGAGACGTAGAAGGAAGGCAGAGGCAATGGATGCGGTTATGGAAGAATATCCGCTGTACAGGAACATAAATGACGTCTGTTTGGGCGCCAGTTAAGCACCCACCTATAATCATGTTCTCCATGTCGGTGAATGTTTTGCTTTGTTCTGTTTTTGTGGGTCTATATTTAAATGTTATGACTTTGGTTCCATGGATCTGCCTCTCATGCATTGACCTTCTGCGTCATCATAACACACATATACTTTTAATATTCCGTCGAATTGAATGTTTTTTTTAAATGAAAAATTTAGTTTGATTTGCCCATTCATATTTTTAATCTTCAAATCTGTTTGGAAATTAAGTTTTGGTAAGATATCGATCATCATCGATATATTGGAGAAATGGATATTAAAAGAGATAGAAATAAATCAAAGCTTTTTTTTGGCTGATGCTTAAATAGTTAAACAATTCCAATATTCACGTGTATGAAATAATAAATTATGAAAATTCGGTATAAATTCAAATTTACTACCAATTTTCTAATTTCAATATTTATAGACTTATACATTAACTAGAAATAGTAAATTATGGAAATCCCCATAAATTCAAATCTCCTCACAATCTCTCTCTTCTGCCATGATAAGATTGTAAGACCTTCCTTATATTACTTCGTTCATTGAACTGCCTTTGTCCATCGCTATCTCTCTTATCATGACAACCATGGAAGCTGCAATCCTTCTCTTCCATGACTTCTATCTGCTAAATGAATATTTCCTCTTTCGTTGCTTTCGTTGGCTGTCTCCTTCACTTGTAGTGCTTTTTCTTCATTCTTATTTGATGATCTATTGATTCTTGACTCATGAGCTTGAAGCGAGCCCATCAATTCATCAACGGAGAGTATTGATAGATCCTTAGCTTCTTCTATGATATTCTCTCTTTCATATGTACGCATCTGACTAACTATTGCTATTGATCTTGATAAAAAGTCAACAATTAATTCGCCATTCGTCATGAACAGAGTTTCAAAATCACGTCTTAGAGATTGCAACACCTTTGAATCTTTCTGAAATTGCAATTTCATTGTTATGACTTTAAATCTTTCTGAAACTCCTTAGGTAGAATTGACCATGCTTGTTTAAATGTGGTTGCTTTTGCAATTCATGAAAAAATATTGAACTGCTTGCTGAATAATTAATAGAGCCTTGGCATCGTTTTTCTTGGTTTCTATTAGTCTCTCCTTTTCTTTTATTGTAGGTTCTAATAGATCAACAAACCCGTGCTCTATTATTATTTTCTGACGAGACCGTTACCATAATTACAATATTTATAGGTTATACCCTAATTAAAAATAGTAAATTATGAAAATCTGAAATAAATTCTTTCTATCAAATATATCTCAGCTACTTTGGTTGAAACTCATCTTTTTAGATGTAACTAAGTTTTATTGTTCAAACAATTCAAGAGCAGTGGACAATCCTTGAGGTTTGAAAAGAACACTTTGGTTGAAACCGACAGCATCAAGTGCACTAAATCAAAACAGCAGAAGCCAAGACACTACCAAAAGAAACATAGGCCGCCATTGATCCCAACTTCTTGACCCAAACGTGGTTGGTAATATTACGAGGGCAGTAAGCAGCACAAACATCTGCTTTGCTTCAAATTTTAGACTCCCAAATTTGATACCAGTTGCGAAGAAGGTGGTGCCTTCAAGCGGCACCTCTGAGAGTGACCTGGTTTTGGCTCTCCATTATCCTGTCTCTAGGAACTGCTTTCTAGCTGCCGTTATTATTGTGCAAAAGTTGCAAGTAAGACTTTGAAACAAATATGAAAAGCCAGAGCTGCATAAAAAAGAATGTTACCCCTTTTTTGTATCAGCTTTATGTGAGCCTGTACGAATATTAAAGATCACTTTTTTTCGTCAGCCATAATCCACCGATATTGTCACCCATTCACTTCAAAAGTTTGGTGTTCTTTTGTTCAGTGCTGTATTGGAATTGGTGAAGCTGATTGGGTATATATGATATCGTCGAACTCCATCGCTAGTAAATATTGTCTGTTTTGGTTCATTACATATCGTCGTCACCCTCATGACTTTAAAACACGTATGCTAAGGAGAGGTTTCCACACCTTTATAAGGAATGTTTCGTTCTCTTCTCCAACTGATGTGGGATCTCACAATCCACTCCCTTGGAGGCCCAGTTTCCTCACTGGCACACCGCTCGGTGTCTGGCCCGGTACCATTTGTAACAACCCAAATTCACCGCTTACAGATATTATCCGCTTTACTCGTTACATATCGTCGTCAGCCTCATAGTTTTAAAACGCGTCAATTAGAGAATTCCTCGGCCTAAAGCTCTCTCTAATAGACGAGTTTTAGAAACTTAAAAGGAAAAGCTTGAAAGGGAAGACCTAGAGAGAACAATATTTGTTACCTGTGAGTGATGACGTTGAGCCCCTAAAGGGGTGGATTATGAAATATCATATCGGTTGGAGAGGGAAACAAAGCATTTCTTATTAATAAGGGTAAGGAAACCTCTCCGGATGGATTGTGAGATCCTACATCGATTGGATTGGAGAACGAAGAATTCATTTTAAGGGCTTGGAAACTTCTCCTAATAGAAGCATTTTAAAAATGTTGAGGAGAAGCTCAAAAAAGACAGTCCAAAGGAGACAATATAGGTTAGCAAGGATTGTTTCAACAAATAATCATGGTTAAGTGGTTGGAAGTCATAGTAGTCAATGTTTGAGAGAGATTTGTAGGGTGAGAGGGGCCAATTATAATCTTTTACATCATATCTTGCTGGAGAGAAATCATTTAGGTCCTGTTTAGATTGGTGGAGAATTTAATTCAACACATTATTTTGTACGTTTATTAATTTGTGACCTGAAAGTTGATATCTTTCATAAACGCTTTACAATTTCCTTTATAGAAGAACATGTTCCTAAGATACCAACAGAAAACCCCATCACTAAAATTCCCACAATCACCACCAACTCCCATCCAAATTTACGTGCAGATTTGTTGATCTTGAGGTAGCATAAACATGGGATGAGAATGCAATTGGTTACGCTTAAGAATGCGCCTGTAAAAGCCATAACATACACAAAAAAGGGAATGGACAAAGCCAGAATGAGGGTGGTGAAGAGAAGCAGAGTTCTCATCAGGATGGCCATGCTCCGAGTGGCGAGCAAACGAGATGCCTCTTCTATGGCCATAGCAATTGGGTTTATGATGGCTGCATATTTGGTGATGGGATTGATGAGGGTCGTGTAAATGGCTATTTTTGTGCTGGTTTTGTGCGTTGGAAGATTTAAAGTCACTTGTGACTTTATATTTTCCCCATACATTAGGTACCCCAATATAGCCATCGAACCATAACTCATCGTGCTTGCCACAAAGCAAACCATTAGAACCTGCAATCAAAAAACTACATATTATCAGTTTGTTTGTTTGTACATGATCCTCCTTCTATTCCATTGAATCGATCGAATTTACGCTTTGAATTTGAAAAGTCTTTACCATAAACTTTGCATCAACACTGAAATTTATTTAGAATTGTACATATATGGGTGTGTTTGGATACCGACGTCGTAGGATAATTAAGAGGTTGATCATGGGTTTATAAATAACAAATACATCTTCATTGACACTAGGTTTTTTGAGGAAACCAAAAATAAATCATGAGAATTCAGGCTGAAAATAAGTAATATCATACTATTGTGAGGGTCAGAGTCAAACACTTAACTTAGTCATGTCAATAGAATCAAGTGTCGAACAAACGGAGTATTTTTTCGAGGACTCCGGAGAAGGAGTTAAGCCTCGATTAAGAGGAGGTTGTTCGAGGGCTTCATAGGCCTCGGGTGATGCTCTATGGTGTACTTTGTTCGAGCTACCTCGGCTAATTAAGGGGTTGATCATGGGTTTAAGGCCGAAAAATCAAAAGTAAAGTCACGAGAGCTTATGCTCAAAGTAAACAATATCATACCATTATGGAGGATCGTGGTTTCTAACTGTGTGGAGAGTCTAGTCTAAGTTTAGTATAAAAGTGTTAGGAAATGAATATTATAGCATAAAGGTCATGAGTGTACCTTTGGAAATTGGGTTTTATTGTTCATGGAGTTGCAAAGCATTGGGAAAACAGCATGTCCACAATAACAAAAGAGAAACAAGCTTAGAGTGGTGGGCAATCCTTGTAGTTTCAAAAGCTCATCTCTTTGGTTGAATCCAACACCATCAACAGCACCAACCCAAGCAACACACAAAACCAAAACAGCAGAAGCCAAAACCCCACCAAAAGAAACATAAGCTAGCAATCCCAAACTCTTGAGCCATGTGGTTGGCAGTATGAAAACAGCAGCCAACACCATGTACATCTGCTTCCCTTCAACACTCACACTCCCAACTTTGAAACCCGAGCTTGGAAAAAGCTTCTGTAGATTATCACCTTCTAATATCAAGAACTCAACAGCCACCAAATACAACTCCATGTAAACAAAAATGGACACCATTATTTTTCCCTTGAATCCAAAAGCCAACCACCCAATATCAGAGTAAGTCCTCACACTTGGATTTGCGTCCATACAACGCTTTAGAAGTAAGCCCGTATACCAACAAACAACTGCCACCAAGGAGAGAAGGATCAAGCTAAGCCACCCTCCTTGAGAAAGCGCAAAGGGAATTGATAATGTCCCCACACCTAAAAAAAAAAATTCAAAAGTAACAACATTTCTTCTTTTATAATCAAAATTCATCTATACCCAATATTAGATAGAGATTTAATGAGACAAAAACCTGATAATGCATTGATTCCATTGATGCAAGTTCTTAGGAAGGTGGTGCCTTTAAGCTGAAACTGTGGGGATGGAAGCTGGCTTTGGGTCTCCATAACTTGGCCTAAATTGGCACTATTATGAGTCCAAATTGTGTAGTAGAACTCTTAAATATAAATAAGAGAGCTCACCTCTTTAGATGTTGGCCTACTTTGATATGAATGTCTGCATATCCCTAACAATTCTAACGTTTAAATTGTGATAAAATTCCAAAAATTGTAAAGTTGATTAAAGTTGATTATTACTTATTTGTTTGGTAGGCATTAGTGGAAAAGGCACCGACGGCATGCCCATTACTTCATTTTATGGGTTATTTTATTTTGTTGAGAGGTTTTGTGAAACCATATTGGATAATGATGTGTTCTTACTAAAAATAAAGTACGATCAAAGAAAGTGGTGGAAATGAGGTTCGGTGGTAAATTGAAAGATGCCTCTTTTCTAGGATTGATATCATAAGAGAGGTTCATTTGAGTGCCTAATTGTTAGTTACAAGCTTGAAAAATGAGCTTAGGAGGTTGAATGTTGTAGAAATAACAACTCAATACTCCGTTCACTAATTCATAATATGTCATATCTAATATTGGTTGTGGAGGAGAACGAAACACCTTTTATAAAGATATGACAACCTTTCCGTAGCATATCCTTAATGGAGAAGTCCATAAAGAAAAGCTCAACCGATATAACTCTGAAAGACGGTTTTAAAGTATTGAAGAGAAACTTGAAACAAAAAGTCCAAAGATGACAATATCTATGAACTTGGGCCGTTATACATAAAACAAAATATAATGTACTCGTTGAATTTACTTCAACAAGTATAAGTTGGTAAGAATTCAAGCTCAAAGCTAACAGATATTGTTTTCTCTCGTTTCTATTAGGGAGAAAAGTTTCCATACCCTTATAATGAATGTTTTGTTTTCCTCTCAAAATCTAAGATCTTAGAAAGTTTTATATCAATTTTATGTTGAATCAGTAAGTCTTCGAAAATTTTATATCGTTTTCATGTTGTATCGGTAAGTATCCAATAAAGAGATTCTTACTTTGGGAAGGAGAAAAAGATGTAATGGTTGAGCAAGTGAAATAAAGGGATGGAAACATGACTCATCATATCATATATGTATGTAATGGTGACATATAAATGAAAAAGCTTTAATACTTATCCCTCGCAATTATTTGCATGGTTGATAATGATATAAAGCTTTTTATGTCTCATCCAATAATAAATGACAATAAATGGATAATAGTATGATGTTATCTACTTTAAATATAATTTTTTTTTATTTTATCTTTTTGTTTGGGACTTCAAAAGGTTTAGTATATTTTCTTTTATTTATGATTTTTTTTAATTAGTTTTGTTCGAAGAATAAATAAATAAATAATTTATGTACATATTTAGCTGGCTTCTGCGGGGCGGGCAAACGGCGGGCCAGAAGGAATGGACGAAAGGAATAACCCGGACCCGGTTGTTTGGGCGCCAATAAATTTGGAAATGACCAAATTGTCCTTTCAGGTAGTTGATGATAATTGATTAACGAACGTTTGGACAGTTTTATGAATCCCGTTATTAGATTCTTGTATTACATCATATAACTTCGATTTGTTGTGTTCGTCGACGATGGCCAATTACCGATATTGACGCTCAATCCGAAGGAAACCACCCCGATTTCATTGCATAACCACAGGTATATTCTTGGATTTTTCCCCATTTTCATCGAGCCAAGTTCTATTCGATTAAATCCCTCATTTCTCTTCCTCTTCTCTTCAACTCTGCTCCGGAACCCCTCCGGTCGGCTGCCTTCTCAGCGCGATCACTGGGGATTCTGCCTTTCTGGTTGTTTTTTTCTTCCGAATATTACTAGTACGCCCCTGTTTTCTTCTGAGGGTACTTTTCTGTTCTTTTGTTTTCTTCTGAATTCGTTTAGTGTATAATTATTTGGAACTGTGAGCCAATGAGGTTTGTTTTTGGTTACTTAGGTGTTTAATTTCTGGTTGCGTAGCTATGAGCGATCATCTCGTTCTGTATGTGGACCGATTAATTCGGCCGGTACCCGTTGAGTCGGTGCCCAACCCGACTGAGGTTGTTCCTTTCTTGCCGATCGGTGGGGATTTGGAGGGCGACTCGCTCGGCTTTCCTTGTTCGACGTCCACTTCCAATGTTGATGAGAAGAGAAAAGAGAGTGAGGATTTGGATGGAGAGGATGATTCATTGATTCAGACAGCGGAGTGTCGCATTTGTCAAGATGACGATATAATTAGGAAGCTGGAAACTCCATGTGCTTGTAGTGGCAGTCTTAAGGTATAAAGATTGCTTCCCTTTTTAAGAAATTAACTTTTGTAGAACTTTATAGAACCTCTGTTTCTTGGTATATTTGTGCCCCACTGCTAAATGTTTTGGCTAATCGCAAATGGTTTATTACCTATGGAATTACGTAGTGATGAACTAGTAATTTGAAGTATAAACATATAGGGGATATCCAGCTTGTTTTTGTAGTTCAGATCGCGGTCCTTTGCCATTGTGGTTGGCTAAATAAGTTGGTGATGATGTGAAAATTAGAAACCATTTGTCTACGAAATGTATTTGCTAAAGTGAATGCCATAAATATGAGGAGGTTTGATATGGTAAAAAGCCCGTTTACATTTCTCTTGTTTTGGTTATCTTAAATGTAGCTAAGGAGACATTTATTGCTTGTGTAGCTTTACGAGTTAGATAAGATCTTAACAATTATTACCTTCTCAGTATGCGCACCGGAAGTGTATACAGCTTTGGTGCAATGAGAAAGGGGATATCATTTGTGAGATTTGTCATCAGGTATGTTCACATTCTTGATTTTGCTTGGTTATATTAAGTTTCTGGAACCATATATGCATTGACATCAAAGTTACGCCAGAAGAGATGTTGTTGCACCTCCTTTTGGGATAAACACAGGGTTTTTTGGCAAATTTCTTGCTTTGTTGTTGTGTAGAGTGTTTGGCTCGAAATCCGCCTTAGAGATTGAACGTTGACTTATCTTATGGAATGGTCCCCTTATGTTTTCTCATATGAACCTCTTGTCTTCATGGGTCCTCTAGCCCTGAAAGTATGATCTGGCTCTACGATCCCAACACAATAGTGATAGAGTTAATGCCTCATCGGGGCTTCTACTTCTCTAACATTTTGTAATAATCAGCTTGGTTTGATTATTTTTTTCTGTTGTCCCTCTCTTTGAATGGACTCTGTTTGTTTGGCCGTTGTTTCTGCATAGCTCTTATATATTCTTTCATATTTCTCCATGAAAGTTTGGTCTCTTACGAATATATTTGATATGCACGCGCACGCATTTGATATGCATGTGAACACATATTACTCTTTCAATATTTTGCAGATGAGCCATGACACTAGCCGGTGAAGTATCTTGGCTTGTATAAGCTGAAAGAAAAGCATTTGTAATGATATTTTCATTGAAAAATGAAGCCAAGAAACGATACAGTTTAACTATTGAAAGATCGAGTAATTAAAACGATGAATGTAGACCCATATATATGCGAACAATTCAGCTACTTTGAATGTTATGGTTCTAGAGGTTTCAGCTTATCTGATTTTCTCCTCTTGCATATGATATACAGCCTTACCAACCTGGTTATACAGCTCCACCACCTCCCCCTCGCATTGAAGAAACGTCTATCGACATTGGGTAACTTACATGCTTCAAACTTCATTTGGAAAGTTGTTTCGTTATAGAAGCATTTTTTTGTTTTCTTGAAGGATTATGGTCAGTTTTCTGATTTTTACATCTAAGATACTAAGCTAAACGTGTCCTATTCTTCGTTTGCATTCTTTTTTCTGCAGGGGAGGGTGGACCATCACTGGCACCCCTTTGAATTTACATGATCCTCGCCTTTTGGCTATTGCAGAGGCTGAACATAATTTATTGGAAGCCGAGTATGATGAATATGCTGCTTCAGATGCCAGTGGCGCTGCATTTTGTCGAGCAGCTGCTTTTATTGTAAGTTTCTTGTTTGATACCACAAATAAGAAATCTCAGTAGTATAATCAAGAAACTTACTATTATCATACAATTTTCACAGAGTGATGTCAATATGGATACACCAGTGCGCTAATACCTCACAATTGAACGTGTTTTCATGCTTCTCTTCGAATAACTCTCTTACAAAATTGGCATTGCAATTTCATATACTCATAGAAAATGTATCAAGTAAAGAACCTGTTTACTGAGGTTTTTCCATTCAATTGGGATAACATCGTTTGCCTGATTTCAATATGGCAGCTCATGATCCTACTTTTCTTGCGTCATGCACTTGAAGTCACAGATCCTGATGGCGATGATTACTTGTCTGCTTTCTTCTCTGTAAGTCTGAGTTCATTACTCTAATCTCCTCTAGTTTTCCTTTTTCACAGATTTCTGACATTGCTCATCTTTTGGATATTGTTTTTTAACCGTACCGTTCAGATTTTCTTGCTTCGAGTGGCTGGGTTTCTCTTGCCCTGTTACATAATGGCTTGTGCAGTCAACATCTTGCAACGTCGACAACGAAGACAGGTGGATATTACCTCCCAACATTATTGTTAACTAATGATTCAAGGATAAACTTTTGTAGTAAATGTTTCTTTTTCCTTTATGTTTTGCCTACTCCAAGGAACGGGAGGCTGCAGCCTTGGGTGCAGCACAAGTTGCTTTTGTGCTACAAGGACGACACAGAGGTCTGCAATTTGCGATAGCATCAGGACCTCAAATGACTTCCCTCCAGGACACTGTGTGACTTACATAGGCACAAAATGTATAACCTCTTCAATTTTCCAATGGTTAGATCTTCCTTACAATCTGTCTATATTTGTAATCTGACTTATTCATTTTGGAAAACCCGAGTGTAATTCATCACAAGAATGTTCTTGCTTTTCGTGATTTGCAATCTTGTCCCGAGTAATGAAGCATCGAAACACTTAACCAAATTATCTTTAATTGGATGGTAGACATGAAACAAAACCTGCGTAGGGGTTTGTTTAAAGAACACTGTTTTCAATTTTATACATGATAGAAAGAAGTATAAGTTTAGTTCGTCTTGTAAACATACACAAGTGATATGTGAGGGTCTGCTATCCTCATACAAATATAGAATGGAAAGAAGGATAATAAGAAAAATGAACGAACTTTGAAGGGGATTTGTTCTATCGACTGCCATACTTGCTTTATGCATAAAATGATAGCCTGATAATTAAAGGAAAGTGGACATTTGGCCGATCAGTTTGGCTGTTGTTTATTTGAGCTTTGAGAAGTTGTGTGCTTAATTAGTTCATTTGAACTGCATTGGATCTATAGTGTCACGGTTATGCTTGTCCAGGACGTGTTACCTATGGCCGCATATCTGATGTCTCGGTCATGTTTGTTCAGGACGCGTTGTCCATGGTGGTATGCTTGTTCCAAACTCCTTTTACATGCTTTTATCTCAGATAGACGTTAATCATTTCATGTTATGTCAATACGGAGTGTAGGATCGTTCACCAAATTCATGCCTTGCACCCTCTAAACTTATCACTGTTATGCCACTAACCCCCAAACATTACACATGCCAAGCCCTCCCTCTCTTTCTAATTTGCTCTTCCTTGCCATTTGCTTAATCATTATCTTCATTTAAGTTTGATTATGTTAATCTCATTTGATTATTATTTGGTTCGAAATTCCAAATCATGATGGTCGTCACCGTCACACGTCTTTTCATGATTCTCCATCGTTATCATACGTTATCGTGTAATGCAAAATTGGAGCATGTTTTCTTTTCCCCTCCATATTCCCATTTCCAAATTATTATGTCCAGCATAAAATGAGATCAGCCATGGAATTTAGATCAACCCCTCAACAATCTCAATTCAATTTCACTTCAATCCCAAAACCAAAATTCATGGTCGTCTCTTACAGAGAATGCCTCAAAAACCATGCCGCCACAGTCGGCGGCCACGCCCTCTACGGCTGCGGCGAGTTTATGCCCTCGATTACCTCCACACCCACCGATCCCACCTCTCTAAATTGCGCCGCCTGTGGCTGCCACCGCAACTTCCACTGCCATTACCATCCATGTAACGACCCTAAATTTCTACATATCTAGAGTCGTCACTAAAGTTTCATGCTCATCTATAAAGCGGAAATATAACTCTTACATAAACACGTAAACTTCTAAAAACGTTTAAAACAACTTTTTCTCTAGAATACACTTACCTGTTTAAATACAAAATACTAAAATTTAGAGAAAATAAAATCAAATACAAAATAATTTAAAACAATGGAATGCACAACAACCTATAAACTAAGAATTTAAAAATGAGTCTACCCTATGCACGTGTCACAGTCTCTGATCGCGATGTCGTCGTCCTCCGTACAAGTGCGCCTTGCCTTTATCTGAAAAATGATGTGGCACACGGCCTGAGTATTTCAAAGAATACTCAGTAAGTGGCCCCACTATAGGGGTCATGCAAATGCAAACACATGCAATCATGTTTTAGGGACCTATCTCTAATCATCTTAGGGGTGACCTCCAGTCTCGGATAAATTGGATGTGTAGTACTTCCCTATTCACGACTCACACGTGCGAGTGTGAATCTCCAGGGCACTCGCACACCCCCTGGACCCTCTGGTCAAACTAATCTGTAGCGACGTCCGGAGGTCAACGGAACCCCATAGTGTCATGCGCCTCATGAACACCCTCATCTGTGTGCATTTGCACCTGTGCGCATTCGCGCTCATCATATGGTGAGCGTCCGCACTCATCATCTCTAGGGGAAGTAACCCTATGCTTATGAACATACAATATGCATGAGGTTCCTCTAAATCCATCATAATGTCTCTTTTGACACAACCATCTAGTCTCATCTCTATGGTACTCTAGGTAACACATACTCGTGGATATTTATATTAATATCATTTTCACGCTCTTAGGGTTGTGTCCTATGTCGATCTAACGACATGATGTAATATGACACTCATCATCATATAGCATGCTCAATATGGAAAACATCATTAGATTAAGGTAAATGTCACGCAATAATCATACTCATCATATTGCCACAAAGTGCATCAAACATATCAAGTACGTCATTCATCAAAATATATATATATGCACACATCATCAAGTATCGTAACCCACACATCATCATAAATCATATACCGCATCGTACGACATAGTTCATACATCATCATAACTCATACAATTTTTAACCTATCCTATAGTAAGACCACTTACCTAGTTGGCGTTAGTCGAAGTATTTTCTAATTTATTTAACGTAAACTCTCATTCTTCGAGAACTACGCCAAATATTTCCAAGGTTTGCTTCCTATCGCATCGTTCGTCACCTTTTATTAGTATTTCACATTTTAATCAATAATCCAACTAACAGTGTGAAATAAGGCTCTAAACGGCCTCAATAAAAATCAAATTCCATGTTTTCATTGTTTCTAAATTATATAGGATAATAAAACTTAGAACTTAAATTAAAGATATGTCGATATTATTAATATTTCAAGCGTCTTGGATAATTCAACATTTAATGTTATATCTTATAGATACAACATTATTTGGAATGCATCGTTGTTTGAGATTTTTACGAATTCAATTTGATTATAGTGAGTATATACATACAGTACTTTCCATAAATTTTATATTTTAATTTTGATGGAAATTGATATAATAAAATAAGAATTTTGATGTAAGAAAATAGTTAAATAAGATTCTAAAATTTAGATAATGATAATAGAAACTAAGATTTATTGAAAGTTTATAGTGTAAAATAGAGTAATGAAATGAATAGTTGCATACCCTAAAATAATATGTTAACTATTAACTCATAGTGGTGTGTGCATGTGATGGTGAGAAGACAATAAGGCTCTCATCAACTTGGTGTACCACAGAAGCCTTAAGTTTTATAAACAAAAGCTTCCCATATTGATGCAAACACCTTTTACAAACGCAACACAACTCAAAACTAAACCCTAATTCTAGCCTGCCTAACTACATTAATATAAGCCCCTAAACAATAATGATACTAATCAAAAGCCATCAGGTATAGCAATTAGTGGTGGTGGATACTTCACTAGGGCATGAAGAAGAAGAATCCCATACAAAACTCGGCTTCCCCAACTCACTTATATTCAAAGGCAAACCCAAAGGACACCCAACACTGGATCTCATCATGCCCCCAAACTGGTCACCACCTGCTTGCATCTCATGTGAAAAGGGTTGTGGATAGTTGTTTATAAATTGCTGATTTGCAAGCAAGTCTATGGTGTCTGCAATGGGCTTCATCCCAAAGTCTCCAAGCACTGATGATGACATGTTTAGCAAAATGGAAGAGAGGTCCACTCTGGATTTCTCTTGCTCTGTGGCGTTGGGTGATGGTTCAGCCAAAATGGGAAGATGAGCGAATGTATTGGTTGTTTGAGTGCTGAATGGCTTACATGAACCCACAAAGTCAAAAGGGTAAGTGTTGGAAATGGAAGATTGGTTTAGGGTTTCAAAGGAGGGCAAAGTGGGTTTTGTGGGGAAATATGTGTCGTTTTTGGTGAAAGCATTATCAGATAAAGGTGGGATATTAGAAGACAGAGATAGAGCCCTTTGAGCTGTGGAGTTTGTTTTCTTGAATATCCTACATATTGCCCATGAATCCTGCACCACCTCAAAATATAAATATAAGTAGGGTTCTTCGAACACGTTAAGAATGAGAAACAAAAGTAGGACTGAAAGTCCTTGACCAGGAAGAGTACCTTTGTGACCACAAGGACTCATAAGGACTTTCAATCTCATTTTTGTTTCTCATTCTTAACATCATATCAAATAACATCATATCAGAACATCATTCTTAACATGATATCAGAACACTAATTTTAATGTTCTTAAATATCAAAATCCAGCATCAAAACTTCGGAGGTTTATTTAAAACGTTAGTAGTGTATTCATTATTCTTAACCGGGTATAATTTGAACGTTGGTTTCGAAGGCTTACATTTGCGGGAATGGTTTTATCAACCAATCTCTTAGATGGAGAAGGATGAGTGAGGGAAGGTAGACGAAACTCATGCATCATCCAGTCAGTTTTGACACCTTTAGCAGCTCTGCCTTTATAGAAAACAAGTGATTTCTTCAGCCCAATGCACTTGGTTCCATCGGAGGAGTAAATGGGGCGGTCAGTTCCAGTGGCCTTCCAGAAGCCAGCTCCAGTGACACGGTTTGGTCTAGCACTGTTCCTGTATTTTCTATCTCTAGGGCAGTAGAAATACCACTCTTTTTCTCCACCACCACCCAACTCTAAACTCAAAAATTAATTTACATCATATATATGAATACCACCGCTCTCAAAACAATAAAAAAGGAAGAAACTTTCTTACTTGGAAGATCCCATGGATCATATTTGTAAATGTCAATTTGCTTGATGAGTTCTATGAGAAGAGGCCTTTGTTGAACCTTTCTTTTGAGGTAAAACCCAACAAGCTCTTCGTCGGTTGGGTGAAAACGGAAGCCAGGCAGCATTAGCTCCTCTGCTTTTTCACCTTCATTGCGCTCCTCCATTAATGTATCAACCAAAAGTTGTGAGTTAGCTTTGTAACTAAGAAACAGAGGAGAGAGTGTGAAAGAAGAGATGGATTGAGAGGCAATATATGGTTCCTTTGAAGGGGGGAGGGTTTGGGTCCGAGGGATCAGCCGCTATTTGTGGTGGGTCTTAAAGAGGAGCCCTTCTTTCTATAGAAACAATTTAACAACGCCCACCAAGAAACGAAGCCCTTCTTAAGTTCATCATAATTTGAAAAAAGAAGCAACTTTTCAAGAACCCCACATCATAAAAATTGAAACTTTATTGGTTTGACATAAGTTTTTACATATAATTCGGTGAAATATTTCTTGGATTCGTTTAGGATTTTGAAGTAAGAAGGGTTGGGATTAAATAAATGAAATCAAGACATGGAAACATGGACCTAAAACCGACTTTCGATACTAATTTTATTGTGTATGTCAATGAGGGGATTGATTATGAACATTTTTAATATTCTTTTATGAGTGAAGAGCTCCTCGGAGTCCCAAAATTCAGCTTCTATTCCATTCCCCACACCTTCTATTCCATTGTATTTGTCAGAATTTTAACTCTGCTAAATCCAAAAACTCAGAAATTTGTGTTTCTATCCAAGGCTAGAATCGGTATTTCGCTTAATGGGTCAAGCTTTGACCCATTAATGATAATCAAACCTCTCTTTTAGGGCTTTGTGGGGTTTTTTTTTTTTTTTTTTTTTTTAATGAAAATATGAGGTTTAAATATATTAATTTATCCCTAGAGAAGATTCTCTTAATGTTTTAAATTTTATTTGAGAATATAAAAGCACAAATAAATTATATTTAGGGGATGAAATGCTAATATTAGAATTTATGAGGGCTTATTAGCAAAATGGTGTGTTGCTTTTAATCACTCAACTGAAACAAGGTATTTAAAATATTAACTAGTAAGTTTGATTTAGAAGCAATATAACATGTACCCATAGCTTCAAGCTGTACTTTATATATATATATATAGAGAGAGTAAGTTTCGATTATCCATTTGATCTCTAATATATAATTTAATTAATCAAAACATCATATATTATAATTCAAACTAAGAAATCAGAGATTTAAATCCTCACATATATGTTATATAAATAGATGTCGATATTTTAACTTCAAAGTACACGGAAGTCAAACGTTTAATTATTTTCACCCGAAGAGGTTAATAGTTAGATTCTTGAAAATTCATGTGTCAAATAAAAAACTAAATAAATAAGTCAAATATGGCTGGTTGGGACTCCAAAATAAAATAAAATTCAGTGATTGAGAAAAAATGTAGGCCTGGGTTGGAACCCTTGAGCTTGGGTTTACGTGCTAAGCGTGCAACTCACTTTATTTTAATTACTATGCACAACCTTCCATGCCCCTCTTTTCATTACATAATTAATACTCTTAATCACACTTAATGTTTCCCTAACTTTAAATACACTTAGCTTCCTACACAGATCTTTGAATAATCTTGGCGTTTTAAACAGGTTTTCGTTTTAATGCACAACGACAACTGGAATAATTTAAGATATAATAAATAGATTCTTCTTCAAACTTGTCTGACTTTCCTTTTACAATCCTTCAAGGATTGTCTCTAATAATTTAATTCAAAAGCTTTTAACATTTTCAAACGAATTTTGTATTTTGCCGGTTTGTTTGGGACTGTCCACTCGGTTTTTAAGAAAATCACTTATTTTGGTGTTTTTAAGAATTTTGTACTAATAAAGAAGAGACGGTTCGTCAGCCATTTTGAGCATAACTCAGTAGATAAGACATTAATTATCATTCTAAAGGTCACTTATTTTGGTGTTTCTATTAGAGGATTTGATCCCATTAAAGGCAACGCAACAGTATGCAAACGATGATCGGTTGCACAGATTGTGAATTTGAAAAGAAGCCTCCCTTGCGTCATGTTGTCTGCAACAACTCCTTGATATTGTAACCTTGGAGCTATATGCAAAGGAAGGGGAGAAAATAGTTAGCTCAGTACACTTCGTAGTCTGAATTTGAAGCATGAGATTTCACTTCAACTCTGAGATTGATGTCATACCGTAAGAAAGGTTAGAAGTAAAATGACGCCCGAGTTCCACAAAGCATGAATGGTGATGGGGGTCAAGAGGTTGTGAGTTTGAGCATAAGAAAATCCGAGAGCAGTTCCTACAGGATTTTTTTGTTACATATTATGCACTCGAAACAAATTCGGCTTAGTTGTTACTGACAAAGCTCCTAACACAAAGTATCACTCCAGAGCAACTTTAGATGGAATTTCAAGTCACATGTAGAAAGAGTTAAGTAAGACCAGAGTTTCAAGAGAACTTGCAGCTGATCAACATTACCAAGCACAAAGAGCTGGGGGAACTCTCCAGGAGTGAAATGAGCAAGGGCAAACACAGCTGCGCTAATCAGAACGGCAACTGGCGTGGGAATCCTGGAGGAAGGAGAGAGTAAGGATGAACATACTAGTTCATTATATATAAATGGTTATCTTAAAAGTTAAATCCAAGAAAGTACTAACACAATTAAAGAACAGAGACAATGATGTTCACACAATCTCGTGAATTTGTACTATATAAACTAATCATATTCAGGCCAAAACAACTTAATTTAAAACATCATCTCTTTATCGATCGCTTATCTTTGGTCGGTCATGTTCCTCATAGCTCGTAAATCGGATACGTAAAATCAATACAGAAGTCATATTAGGATCGACAGTGCAAACCCTCACCCAACATCGTCCCATCCTCTTCATGAAACTATATTATAATGTCTTTCTCAAGTTTGTATTTCCCAATTCTATGTTACCAGCCGTTCTTTTTCAAGATATCTTAAAGCATGTCTCAGAAGCAGTATCACTGTACTTTTCTGTAGTTGAATGGGCTTATAAACTTTGTAAAATCTCTTCTTATCTGTAAACAGCACGAGTTTTTGTACAAGTCGAAATTTTTTTGTACATCAAAACCATTTAATGGTGGTTGTTGTAAGAAAAGCTCGACTTAATTAAGGAATTACACCATGGTTTCATGTGCAAATGAGTGATAAACAAAACTTGGGCAAAGAATACTAAGAGACCATACCACTTAGTAAGAGACACCATAAAAAATCCACGAAACACGGTCTCTTCAAGAACTGGAGCAAGGACCCCTGTGATGCCCACCAGACAAGCAGTGCTGAAATGAAAACATATATGCTGGTTTCACTTGCTTTCTAAATTAACTGCAGGTCTGTAGTAAATTGGACGCCTAAGTGATGAGCCTTAGGAAGACTGAGACATTTTGAAAGCTCGAATATATATAAAATCGAAGTAACCTTCCGCCAACAACCTGATGCTGGAAGATCCAACTAGTGGGAGCAAGCGTACTAGAGCATCTGTCTGAAACCAAAATAAAAAGAAAGCTTAAGAGTGTTCTGAAGAATCCCAATGAACCAGGACCGACAATAATAGTTTCAAAATAATGAAGCCAAGTTCATCCATACTTCACAAACATCGTTCTTTTTGTTCAATCACTTGATGTAAATTCATATTGAACCAACAACTAACTTTAAGTACTCTGTAACATAAAGCTATCAAGAAGACACAAACTGCAAACGGCTGTAGAGCTATGTACTCCCCAATTCCAGCTAAAAATGGACAATGGAAAATATGGAAAGGATCTTATCATTTCTAACCTCTCTTTGAGTACTCCCGCCATTAAATGAAGACAAGACGGCTCCTGTCACTGCAATAGAAGCCAGGGCACCCACTAGACCCACTCCTGCCCATAAGAGCCAACCCTTCTGCAGATTCAAGGGGTCCCTAATATCTGATGAAAGAAAATCACCATGAATGTTAGATCCTGATCCAGATACCAAATATCTGACTAAATGACTGCTTATAACATGGATACTTCTCCATATGTTAGGGAAAAAATGATTAAGAACTCAACAATAACTTGTAATTGAGAATACCATAACGATAAATGTCATCAGGAAGTGGTTGGAAAGTGTTGGCAATGCTGTATATGATCCCAAGCACTGCCACAGTTGCAATGCTACCAAAACAACCAACGAATAGCTACTTCTCATTTGAATGATATCACAAAATTTATGTGCAGGTTTGAATTTGAAAAACTAGACGTTCGTTCTAAATCAAGGCATACCCTTGGTTCAGGAGAAGTATTTCAGCTTTCTCATCTAAGCCTAGCTCTTCAATGCGAATACCAAGATAAGGAATGGCAGCAGATTCAACCAAGCCTGTCACGATAACACTGTCTGGGAAAACATTAACTTCTGCGCTAATTGCAAATAGTGGAAGCAATTACACTCGGACAAAGCAAACATAGTTACAAAAAAAGCCACCTTAATCCACAAGCTAGTGAAGTTAATGAAACTGTTTGCCATCCCCATGGCACCTCCCACCGCCTCAAGATAGGCCATCCACCCTCATTTCCCTAAAACAATGTTTCTCATACGTCTTAATAAACCCAACTCAGACCATTTTCTTTTTACAACAAAACAAACAGCTGAGAATTTCTTAAACAAAATGCCTCAACATAGTTACAACATTAACTTTTCTTTCAGCAATCCAGCATATGTACTTCAGTTTCCTGCTATTTCGTACCTTTCACGAAATTCAACAGCAAGTATGACGAATATTAATGGCGAATTAGACGATGAGGAAAGTACCTTCTGTTGAAAATCGCCGCCGGATTCATCTTTAGCATTGAAGCAGCAAAGAGAACGAAACCGATTTGGGGACAGGGAATTCGAACGTCGCGGAGACAATCGCAGGGACAAATTACGGGAGCCAACGAGTAGAATCTTAGAAGTTCGTTTGCCCGTGGATTTCAGAGAAGACGATGGCTTCCATGGATTAGAAAGACAATAGATTGAAGATTCAGGTATAGTTGTGAAGGTGGTCGAACAGGAAATCTTCATTTCTAATCAAATTCTTTACGAAATCCGTGAACTGGAGCTTGGGTTCGAAATTTTCGCTCTTACCAAAGAGGATAATGCAACGAATTTGCAAAATGATAGGAGGAAAAAAAAAAGGCAGACACTTCAAGACGTCCAACACTCACGACGAGAAAATGTGCAGTAAGTTGAAGTCCGGAATGCTAGTCGACGGTCGACCCAGTGAACCGAACCAAACCCATTCAATTGGCACCCGGTTTCTTTTTCAAACCATTTAGCGTTGGCCCAAACCAACACGGTTCATCCTTTAATCCTCTACCACTTCAGGATTCAAATAAGATTTCATTTTATTTTTATAAATCATCTCCACAATATTTGGACGGTCAACATTTTTAGTTGGCTAACGTAGTTGTAAAAACACCAACCAAACAATCTAAACAAATCAATCTTATATGTTATATGTTTGTGGGATGTCCATCTTCTTCAAATTATAGAATGTCTTTGACCACGATTAAGTGTATATATAGGAATAACATCCGAGTCTGCTAGCTAATTTTACTAGAAGATACATTGAGGCACGCCAAGTGTCACGGTCATACTTTTTCAATCGTACGGCATCGTACTCATGATCAGCTTAAGGAGAACTGAAGCCCCATATTTTATTTTTCGACAAGATTTGTCTTCGTCAACCGAACGTTGCTGGTGAGGAATCCAAGCTTGTACGACCACACGCCGCCTGCGCGTACATGTTCGATCACACAACCGACTTGCTTCTACACTAGGCTAAGTCATTTTGCTCGACCTTGTCTCTACTTGGGATTTAGGTCTCTCAATGCAATATCACATCTTGTCATCTTGATCCCAATCAACACAGACTCATGTGTCATTCATAACATCAAGACATCCCGAACATCCATTCATCCAGGTTCTATCGAGATATTGGACCTCCCGTGTCCATACAATGTTATTTACGGATACCGTTTCAGATAGCAGGTGCAAAATCCAACTTCCGACATGTGAGCAGGGACGCAATATTGACGCACTCGTGCCGCCCGATACTGTCCTTGACAACTCCATTTCAAAAAAAGTCGTTCGAGACACTCGTCTCTAAAAGCTCGCCCTCGCATGCATATGCCCCCGCTTAGACCACAGGGCTCAAGGGTGGTGGAGAGCTAACATTATACCTCCCCTATAGTACATTTTTAGGCATTTTCAAACTGGCAGGTGTAGACATGATTTTGGCGAATGAACATACGGTGTCTTGGAGCATTCATCAGGTGTCCAATTGCCCAAATTTCTTCTGAAACTCCTACTTTTGAGGTTAAGGCCCAAGGGTCCTACTCACCCTTCAATAAGCCTATCTTTGATACTCTTGTCTACTCATTGCCCTTATCTTTCTTGTGTCTCGTCTCCTCTTCAATGCACACATTATATGGTATGTTGGATGATGCATCATTCTCCTCAATCGTATCATGACATTTGTCTAGGCCCTCGTGTAGCCGGATGGGCACCACTTAAGGATCACTACTTCACTTGTCGCAACGTGAGAGTTACAACCTACTCTTCTTATAGTAAAGTCGCGACACCAAGCAGCAAGCAAATGACAGCATGCATGTGAAAACCATCAAGTCTGAGTAAGAACTAAGAGATATGTCATAATACAATTAAAGAAGCAAGTAGTAGCAGTCTCAAACTTAAAAGTGACAGGTGAATGAGGCCCTACCTTGCTCATACTCCTAACCGGTTAGATGGAACAACTCTCCTCTATGGATTGATCACATAACTTAATATCAACTTCTCACAGTCGAGGCCTAAAAACAAACCAGCATCACCGCCCACCTGCATCGTGGCTTTAACAAGGCATTGTCGAGTGCACTATTTTTCATCAAGCTATTGACACACAACACACATTCATCAATCTCCAAAATATGTTTAACGTTTAGCTGAATTAAAACCGAATAATTAGAAGTACGAAAGTGTGAAGTGGATTAAACAGGACACATACATCAATCCTTTCTTCGATTGTTCCCATGTATATAAAGAAATATCAACCCCAGGAACCTCCAGTTACGTTAAATCCGATGCCTTTTGCAAGAAAGCTACGTCCAAAAGTGCTCAAATTGCGTCAACCAACAAAAGTGAGACATCCAGGCATTGGTCCAACTCAACGACGAGACACCATTTTTGTTTCATACTTCATTATTTTCTAATCATATACCTCACAAACAACCCTCAAAACTTGAGGGGAATAATAGTGAAGACGATGGGCAACATCAAATTGACAAACCAACGACGCAAAAGAACCACCTTTCTTTTCATTGTTTGTTCCTGCAGAATCTTTCAAGTTTTGAGAGCAATGGGACAAATTAGTCCTCTCCTCTCTATGATTTGGCCTAAAATCAACTGTTTTGAGATGTTTTCAGCCCAGAAGCTTCGTTCAAACCCAGCTGGTCGCCTTTCCATAATATCAACTGCCGCCCACAGACTTCAACTTCAATGTCTCCACTGTGTTCTAGGGAGTGGACCCTCATTCACCCAATACATACACGTCCCATCCATCCAACTTCATCCATAATTTAGCAAATATTTTCGCTGGCAGACACAGATAACCTTTGTAACGGTTCAAATTTACTATTAGGAGATATTGTCCGTTTTTATCCATTACGTATTGGGTCATTCCGTTTATTTATTTATTTTTGCTTACATAGTATCACAATGAATTTTGTTATATCAAGTGAAAATACAAAAAGCTGGCAAACCAGGGACAGATGGAGGATTGATGGAGATGGGGATTTAGAAAGAGCTTCACAGAAATGCATTTACGTGTAGGATTTGGAGCCTTATTTGGAATGTGGTTTAAAACTGCATAGAGTGTCGAAACTTAACAGAAGAAAACTGGGTGGGCGGAGATCTTAGTAAAAGCAGGAAAGACAAAGCAGTCCATCAGCTGAAGTGATAGTACATACGATGTCTGCTCTGTCCCCTTCTCTTCACTTGTATTCGTAAAGAAAGCAAGTTTACGTGGGATCCGGGAGCTGTCCAAGTCTTCACTATTATTTGTGCGCCCGACTGGACTCAACTCCTGGTGTTCTGCCACGCCATTAATGCACTCCACGCCCCTGCCGACCACAAAACCAAGCTGTTATTATGATATGAAATTAGGAATTTGTCAGTTTCTGGTGAATTAGTGGAACCCAAATCAAACCCACATTCCTTTTTCTCTCACTCAACACATGCAAATGCAAATGCAAATGCAAATATCTATCTATCTATCTAATATATATATATATATATATATATATATAACACCCACCACGTATACTTCTTATGCACCTCTTGTTCTGTTTCAATCATTCTCAAACAACAGCCAGCCCCGCCGCGCGCACTCATTTCTTCATTAACATGGGAAGAAGGGTGAGCTTGCCGCCGCCTGTTTGCGATACAAACCTCTTGCACCTTCGTGAAGCCTCTTTCTCTTCTTACTTGAACCATGCAGAGAAAGAATTTGTGCGTAAGCTTGCTGAATCAACTCGAGATCGCTCTAATTCTGTTACAACTCAGGAAGACGAGGATGGAGATATTGAAGTTTTTGGGGCTGAGAAATATTTCATTGCGGGTGCATTTGATGATACTCAAAAGCCCCTCAAATTCCCTCCCAAGAAGCCCCAGAAAAGGATTCTTCGCTCCAAGAAGCCAAGAACTAGTACTTCTAGTACTACTACTACTCGATCTGGAAGTCCAAGTGTTCGTTCTCAATCCAGTTGGAATAGCCAAAAGGCACTGTTGCAGAGTAGTACTGTAAACACTGATTCCATGTCGTCTAAGGCGACAAAGAAGAGCAAATCCTCACAATTGGCGAAGGGGTTTCTCTATAGATGCTATTGCTGCGACAAGAACTTAACCAAATCCAAATCAAACCCCAAACGGAGACAAACAACCAATGCAGGTTCAAATTTCACGTTTGAAAGCTCTGTTCCAGCTGATCTGATGCCCAAAAACTCTGCCTCGGCCCTGAAAATGCAAATTCAAGTCGAAGAACAACAAGGGCAAAAGCCAATTGAGGTGTTTGAATCTTCTCTACCCAATGTGGACTCTCTGAATGTGAACCACTTGGAGAAGAGGCTTTCGACGATGACATGGAACGACATCGTTCCAAAAGTGAAGGATTCTTCAAATTCTAATTCAAATAAGTGCAGCCTAATCTACAACGATGACGCGGAAAGTGATGCAAGTTCGGATCTTTTCGAGATTGAGACGTTAACGGGGAACCCCAATTCGTTTCTCACAAGACAACCCTCTGATTGCACGGATTGTGTAACACCCACCACTTGTTATGCACCAAGTGAGGCCAGCATCGAGTGGAGTGTCATCACCGCCAGCGCCGCCGATTTCTCCGACGAACACCGCCTCTCCACCACCAGTCACGACGTGAAAGCGAGTCTGAGGCGGCGTTCGAATCATCTGATCGGTTGCAAGAATGAGAAGGCGGTGAGAGTGGCCGGAGATAAGTACGGTTCTCCGGAGGAAGTGCAACGAAGATGGGAGTCCTTTGGACGACTTACGAGGTTCGAAGCTCAGAGGCTTGCTGCAAATTCTGTTCCTCGTCAGTATTCACCCAAAATCTCCAATATTTTGTATGTTTAATTATTATTTTTTTTCTTTCCAAAAACAATTAAGCTTTGGATTGATGTCAGAAGCAGGACATTATCTAGTTTGATTCCTCCAATGTTGATTTATTTCATCATCGGATAATAAGAAAGAATTGTTCTTACTGTTTTAATATGAATCTTTGTACATAATGAAGCGTGTTTAAGGGAATCCATTCAACAAAAATAGCATAATTTGATTGGATAATCTCGCTTTATATTTTTTAAATAAAATAAATAATTTCTCACAAGATTAAACTTTTTAAATTTTATCATATACTTTTATTTCAACAATCTAAAATTTATGTTTAATAGAATAATTCATTTTTAAAAAAAATGATTTTTTTTAGAAATTTAGGGTTCTGACCAAATGTGACCACAAGTGTCATTTAATGCTCTACCCGATGCCTAAAATGCCATTTTTAATTATTAAGGTTTGGTTTCTTATTGAATGAATTTGTTTTTTTTTTTTGGCATCTTATCATCTTGCCAATAATTAATTAATTTCGAGTCTTTTAAATGTTTCACCCCCATTATATTATGTTGCAATAGTCTAAGCCTACTGCTAGTAGATATTGTCCGCTTTGGCCCATTACGTATCGTTGTGTAACCGCCCAAGCTCATCGATATAGTCCGCTTGACACCGTTGGGTATCATCATTGGCCTGTTTTATATTTGCTCCTCACGATTTTAAAATGTGTCCTCCAGGGAGAAGTTTCCACACTCATATAAATAATGTTTCATTCTCCGATCTCACAATCCACCCCCGAGTGACTCAGCATTCTCGCTAGCACATCATGCATACGAAGAGGTTTCCAGTTTACACGCTCATATAAGAAATGCTTCATTCCCCCGTCCGGTGTCCAACTCTTTGCTAGTAAGAAATTTTTCACTCGTATAAGGAATGGGAGTCCTCCCATGTCAAATCTCACATTACCCCTTTTCTCTTTAAATTTTGCTTTCAATTTTCTTTCCCGAGTCCTTAAAACTTTCTTAATTTATTGAACAATAAAAAATCTCCTTTGATGTATTTTTTTTTTAAATTATTTAATTATTTGGTTTCTTTTTTCTATGATAAATTATGTAATTAAATGAATTACGTGATCATGGACGAATGCACATAAGTTAACTAATTATAGTTAAATGAATTATACGATCATTACATACTTTGGTCATTATTTTATCCTATTGTTCCACACAATTATTATACATTTCTTTTATATTAAATAATGAATGGAACGTCTTAAAATTTTTGCATTAACTAAAGAATATTGAGTGAATAAAACTAAAAGAAATTTAAAATTTTAAAGATTGTTTGGTGTTTGATGTTCCATATTTTTATTTCCTTTTAGAAACAAAATTAACATTCGTAAATGTGTTTTTTATTTTCTTTTTTGTTTGTTGTTCTCATTTTCTATTGTTTACAAAATATCAATAATAAAAATATTATTTTATCATTCTTATGCTATAAAATGCATAATAAATATATATTTATGATTAAGTCAAAGTATTTTGTTCGAGTCTATGATGAACACGATCATCCAACTCATTTCAATCATTAATCTGTTTTTCAATGATACTTTTATTATAATCTGTCAGCTTTATTTTCTATGGGTTTGGTTCCTTTTTTTATAAGCTGAGGAAGACCCATCAGATGGGTCCAAACACTCCCTTGGGAACGATGAACATATAGTTCTTATTCCCTGATGCCTTTGTTTATGAACAAACAACAGTATCTAATACTCATAGCATGTGAACTAGAATAGATGAGCCTGCAATATCTTAATTTTCACCCAACTGCTGAAGTTCAGAATATGAAATTGCCCCTCAACTACAAAATATGTTTGGGCTAGATTTGCTTCTTTACAAGAACAGAGCAATCTATGATTCTACTTTAGCAGATGAAAGATATACTTCAGAATGGCATTGTATAAGAGTCAAGTACCGGTTACCCAAATCAAAAGAAGAAGAAAAAATCACAGCAGGATTCACTATGAAACTTCGAGGAAATAGTAGTAACTAAAGTGTAAGCCACAAGAATATGCGTATGATACAAATTTAGTAGTGTAGTGGCTGGCTAACAGAGAGAGAAGTAAATAATTAACATATGCTAGCTATGGAACAACTAATCTTCCTTAAGTCGAGCTTCGAAACCGCCCCCTGCTCTCTTCTCTAATGAGTAAGGCCTATAGGTGCCAAATATTCTATCCCACGTAACAAAAAATGGCTGTGAGAAGTTGTACTTACTGCCATATAGCTGGTGATGGACATCATGATATGCAGAATTGTTTCTAAAGAACACATGGAAGAGGTTGCCGGGAAGCCATAATCCACAATGGTCATCCACTGTTTTGATGGTGGCAAAGGAAAAGAAAAAGATGGCGACTCGAGGTGACATCCCAGAAACGAGAAAAGATAAAGCTCCACCGATTGTGTCAAGGAGAAGACCCTCCAACGGATGATTGTATAAAGCTCCAAATGCATAAGGTACAACCAGCCGATGATGCTGGGAATGGACGTGCTTGTATAGGAACTTGTTTTGGTGCATGTATCTATGAATAAAGTATTGCCAAGTGTCCAACACGAGCATTGCAACAATAAACTGAACTACGATTGTTAGCCAAGATTTTGGGCCTGTAGCAACCTCCCCTTCATTTTCAGTCACCTACATGATAAGTTAAGAACAAAAGCAATCGTCAGCAACGGGCAATGCTCAAAGTAAATAAAAGGTGCAACAAAAAAGAGACGCCCAAACATTAGCCACATAATGACTCGCTAGTTTTAGTTCATAAAGTATACATTCATTATATTAGCTGCAGATTGGCAAACGAATGAACAAGTAATTGTGTAGCATACAGAGAGAAATGATTACATCCAGCAGATCAGAAATAATTGCATGATCTATGGACTACTAATGCTTAACTGATATAATATTGCAATTTTGGCACCATTCAAGTAAGTTCTTCAACCCCTTCAACTTCAAGCATGGGTAGGTTTCTGCCTCACAAAACCAATTTCTGTTTCTTAATTATATTGGCTAATGGCTACAGGATATTTTCAGCCAGTACTCAGAACAGTAAGAAAACCAATTGATGTGAAAGAAATCATACACTGAAGCAGACCGTAGAGTAAGTTAATTTGATGGTGTTCTGATAGGTTATATCAGAGAGAAACATGTATTTAAGAAATGTGAGCCAGAATGCTACAATTAAAAAACGAATATTCAAGAACTGCAGACCCAATAAAACAATGCTCTAAATATGGAGGGATAGAATTGGAGCACAGCAAGCGGTATCTTTTCTAAAATGATATCTATCTACACAGGACAATTTTAAAGTTATTTCATCTACTTTCAGTGGGCTTCCTTCCTTTGCCTTAACCACCTAAAGCCCGAGACGTAAGGGGGAAAAGATCAAAACTTACGCACCATCAACCACTCGTCGGAAGTAGTAAATTCGGTGACATCCATACATGAGACAGCCCAAGGATTGAGTTTGGTTCGAGATGTCATGCCACAGAAAAAATACAAAAAAGTTTCCTAAATAGTTTCTCCTTTTTTGGAGGGGAGATGAAAACTCAGAAAGTAAAGTAGTCCAAGAATCATGGACGATTTTTCAGACGATGATACATCGATGAATCTTGGTCTGCCAGACTAGGAAGAGTACGCAAATGATGTCGGTAATATAGCTCGTAAAATGGAGCAAGAACTAATAAAGTCACAGACCAGTAGTGAATTTCGCAGTGCGAAATCACTTGTGCATTACTTCTCAAAATAATAAGAACAAGAATAATCCAGTCTTAATGTATCGATATCTAGTGTCTACAAATCCATATGAACTACAAGCAAGTGGGGGACGGGGGGGGGGGGCGTAACAAGATATAGCACAGCTAGAAGGTGAAGACTTTCGTATCAAGTGGTGGTTCAACTTTCCATATGACCCAGTGCCACCTCTTTCAACTAATAATGCCCTATAAATTTGTCCCGACTCTATACCGGGCTAATTTGAAAGTTACAATTATGATGAAAATCACATACATATCGAAATTTAATGAACTTGAATTGACATTATGCAATGCATACCTTAAACAAGAGGATCGCAACGATTGCCTGAATAGTCTGTTGAAAGAAAACGCCTCTAAGCACAGTGCTTTTGGACACTAAGTTCTTCTCCTGCTCATCTTTCTTGGAGTGCAAACGGTAGTTGTCAAATGAGCCAAGAAGAACATAAATCCCAGAATATAGCCAATAAACCAAAATTGGTACAAAAGTGCCCAAAATTTGATCAGAGATTACAATACCCATCTTGGAAAAGTACCTAAAACCGATCAAATACTAAACCCAAAAAGCAGCCAGAATTGCATTAGGAACCAAAATCCCAACTTACAGCTCCCGAACAATTCTCCTGCTGGTTGAGAAAGTGCAGGAAGGGAATCCCAAATCCAATTCCTATGAAGGGAAAGGAGAGTAAGGGACGACCTTCCCACACTGGCCTCTCTACAAGAAGGAAAGTATATGAAACAACACCCAAATCAACGAAGGAAAGGGAAAATGAAAAGGATTCGAGCTAGGGCTTGCAGAAAAAACAAAGAAAAACCTGTGAAAGTAGTACACGAATCATGGAAGAGAGAAGGTGGAGATCAAGAAGAACCAAACTACGTCGTTTTTTTCCCCCTTATAATTATTCCCTTTCCAACGATGAAAATGTCGTCGTGGGACGTGGAGGAGAAAAGTTTCGATTGGGAGGCAATCCACGTGGCAATCAGTGAAAGGCTCAAAACGAGATCCGTCTCGATGTAGGGCTGTGATTGAATGCTTCGTAAGTTGATATATTACACGAAAATAACTACCTCGATTTATCCGTTATAAGAAAATAACTATGAATTTTATACCATTAATTATAGGGAAGACAATTAATTTTTTTTAGAAAATGAGTTTAATATCCCTAAACCAAACTGGCTGACGGTTCACTCGTTTCGGCTTTCATAAACCGACCGTTCAGACCGGGGTTTTACCGGTTTGGTTTGAAGCGTGAATTCGAAGCAAACGTGGTGTATGCCGAGGTATGCGTTGAATCTACGCACCAAAGTTGGGGTCTCCTATATAAACCCGCCGCGGCCTCGCGAAACTTCCACAGCTACTGTGAAGTTTCCAGCTTCCGATCATTTTGAATGTGGGGGAATTTTGGGTTTTGATTAAAATGGCGGAAGATTTCTCTTCAGAGCGTGCTCTATTCGGGGGCGCTATAGTTAGCACATTCCCTCTTAGGTTCCAGGTTTGTCTTGTTCAATTGCGATTTTGTCTCTTTCCCTTTCGGTGTATCACTATTTTTCTTTATTTGATTGATGAAATTTATGTGTTTAACTCGTGATTGTTGCAACTCTAGGACGTGAGCAACATCCGACAAGTCCCCGATCATCAGGTTGGTAGGCATTTGATTTCATTTTAAAAGCCAGAGTTCGCGAAATTTACTGTAGTTTTTTCCCATTTTTTTAATATGTTTGTGGTGGGTTCAAAGGAAGTGTTCGTGGATCCATCTCGGGATGAAAGCTTGATATTTGAGCTTCTAGATTTTAAGCACGATGTTGAAGACAATGGAAGTGCTGTTTGGTTCCTTCAAGACCTTGCCACTGAGCAGGATGCAGAAGGAAGCGTGGTAATTTTACTTTTAGTTTATTATGTTTTCCATTTCTCTTGCTTATTTCTTGCTTTGTCTATTGTCAGTTTAACATTCAAGTAGTAACTATTAAACAACAATGTGAGACGGGTTCGCTTGTTTTGGCTGTTAAGTATTTAGTTAGAGAATGTGTGTGTTATTTAATAGGGGCGATCGGAGATGTTTGATGCAGTTAATTATCTGGTAATGTAAGACAGTTTGATGGGAATATCGGTTTCACTCAACACAAAGAAGCTGCTATCTTTCTTGTTGTAGGAAATGGTCCTTGTTCTATCTTTTAAGTTTAATTTCAAGAGATGGGTGCCATATTAAATGCTATCTGATGTTATGGGTTAACTCAAAAGCAGAGTCGTGTTTTATTAGTAGTTTTGCCTTCTGCCCCACTGGAAAATTTCTTTGACGCTCTTGTGAATTCAATTAGTTTCAATCTATAAATACATATCTAATGATACTCTGAGCTTGGGCTCTTGATGTTATGTAATTTCATGGAATCATATCGTCTGTTTTTACTTATCTTGCAATATTTCTTCAGGTGATTGAGCAATCGGGAGTGATCGAGGCACCTGGACTGTGTTATGCAAATATACCTTCTGTAGTTACAACTGCCGTTGGCCAAATGGTATGTGTTGCTGCTGTGTGTGGTGGTATATCAATTACATGACTGGTTGAATATTTCTGCTTCAAAACACATTCTTCACGTCATTATCTACTTCCAAGTTAGTTTCTTCTGCTTGCATATGAGTTGTGTGGATCACTATATTTTTAACTGTTGAACTGAGACACGTATCTCATGAACAAAATGAAAGACAGATGTAGAGGAAAGAAGAAAATAGCAGTTAATCTATAGTGTGGTTTGTCATTTTGTCTTTACATCCAACTTTGAAAGATCAACTAAGCTTCAGAATAAGGGATTTCTTAAGGAAATAAATAGACCCCCAAAAGAAACTCCCTCTTTGCAATCTGTAAGTCTCCTTTCACTTTAGCTCGCTTGTGGAAAGTAACGCACTATGAATCACATGCCTCTCTGAACATTCTACAAAAGGATCACATGGCAACGATACTACAGTTTCACTTGGTCGACCCTAATCTCTATAGAAAATTGTCTCTTTCCTTGCCATACTCATGGTGATGCCAGCATTACTAATCATTCTCGTTTTTCTATTCTATCTTGCATATTTATTTTGGTTTAAATTTGTTGGGTTAGATCTACCTGTTAGATATCTGAGGTTTGTCAAATATTTTGGTGTTATTTTGTTTGTGATGGTCATCGGATATCAGTTGAATATTGTCAGTCCACATTTCCCTTTCTTCCCTTTCTTTTCAATAGGTCTTGTTTCTGTCCATGTAGGCAATTTCAAAGGGTCGGCAAGGAAGAGAAGCTCAAAATATTGTCAGGGTAACCTTTCTTATCTTCTTTATCCTAGTCCTATGGTGGTTGACAATGGTTTATAGGATTTATCTGTTTATTACTTTATGCAGGTTTATTTGGCGAATCTACGTCTTAAAGCGGTTGGAACAGATGTTCTAATCTGTGCATATGAACCCATTCTAATAAAGTGAGTAATTACTCTCAAATAAAGGGAAAATGAACAAATGGTAGAATTCTAAGTGAAATAATACACTGTTTGTTAAGTTGGGAAAAGAAATTCCTGTCTTCTGAGGGTGATGGCTTTCTCCCATATGACTAGTCTACTTAGATGCATAATACGAACTATTAACATCGCCTCTCCACACTCCCTTGACGAACTTATTTAAGGTCTCACATTCCCCTCACTACGAAAGATAACCTCCTGATACAGAAAACTTGACTTGGCCCTCATGTTTTTCCATCATGTGTATGTGAAGCGTATGGGAACTTAGACTTATCCCATCGCACTACTCCTAGCCCACACTTTCACTTTGTCCTCAAAATGAAGAGATGGAAGCTGCCATGTCATGCTTCTTTCTGTAGTTGTCCTTCAATAACTTTATCAACTAATGGTTGCTCGCCCAAAATTTCTGTTGGGCTTAGTTTAGCCCCATAGAGGCGCTTAACTGAGTTCGTAATGGGAAGGGATGAGAATTAGAACCTTTGGCCAACCTCAACTGTGAAACATAAAATCTTGAGTGAACAGTAGTTGTGCCAGGACCTCCTTATGATAGGCAAGCTTACCAACTGTCTTACATATAAGATAGGGACCATGCTAATGTAGGGGACAGGTTATCATTCCCCTTCTTGCCACTGGCCTGTCTGCGAGAAGGATGATCGAATATACAAGTTCATCCGTCTTTTGAAATTGCTAGCTCTCTTCATACGGTCTACATGCATGCCTAATCCTTACTGTTTACATCACTCTTGATGTACACTCACCTGATACATTACTATCTGTCACATGCTTATAATCATAGCTCAAATTCCTTTGCTTTACATCATAGGATAATGCATGCAACTCATTCTTCTTTAACAATGTTGATTGGTTCTCTTTACAACCAAGGTGTCAGCCAGATTTAACTGTTAAGGTCCAGTACAAGAAAACATAATTCTGAGTATTAAAGAAAATGCGTATTGAGATGCATCCCAAAAGGACGGTCTACTGTATCAATCATTTTGCAGGGTGACAAGGACCCAAGCTGAGCCATTCATTTTAGTTGGCGAACTTGGCTTAGTTACCTCTCCATATCTGACCCCGTCTAAAGCAAAGCCCATTCTCTTACTTCACAAATCACAACCCAAATATAAAAAAAGTGTGCAGATAGCATATCTTTCTTGTACCAATCACTTGCAACTCTAACTTCAATTAATTGTGGCTGCAGTCCTTTGAGCGAAAGTGCTAGCTCAGTTGGCTCTGGTTTGGCCACTCCTGCATCACAATCTGGGTGCATCCCAATGCCTGAGGTATTCAAACTTGCATTATCCAGCTTTAAAGTATGTGACTGGAGCGTTTTCGGTGCAAACGGTTGAAAGACGAGATAAGTCTTGGCCTTCATTAGTCTGATTTCATTTGGATGTTAAAAGTAGCCAAGTAAGGTGAGTGATTATAAGTAATGTTCCTGCTGCTCTCTTCAGTTTGAAATTGTTTGTAGAGTTTTTAGGGGTTTTGATTTTTTCTGTATGGGAAGTAGTTGAAGATATGTGAATAGTAGAGAAGTGAGTAGGCAAGCCCGTGCGTGATGCGGCAACCCCCTTTAAGGTGGACATAATAGAAGAAGCATTAGCTGTTGACATAAGGACCCCATATTTTGCACCAGTCAATCACGTGGCAAACAAAAGGTTTGAACATTACACACCACGACTGACTGACTGGCCATATTATGTGTTTTCACACATGCAGCGGTGACCTTTTCTGGGGGAAAATTAAATTATTGGTGGGCGTTTTACATCAAATTATTGTCTAATCTTCTAATAATTGCGAAAGGAACAGCTACCCCCCCCCCCCCCCCCCCCCCCCCCCCCCCCCCCCCCCCCCCCCCCCCCCCCCCCCCCCCCCCCCCCCCCCCCCCCCCCCCCCCCCCCCCCCCCCCCCCCCCCCCCCCCCC